GGGTGATCTCCCCTAATCATTCCATTAATAGATGTAGAATTAAAGGAAAAGTTTTCCCACCTTCGACTCCTTAAATCCTTAAAAGCAGTTCATCAGCTTCGGTCGGAGCTACGAGACATTACAAAAGAAAATGTCTAGTCCAAATGAAAAACCTCTACAACCTTTACCCTATAGGCCGGGAGATTTGGTTTTTATTCGCAGGTTTGATTCCAAGACCCTGGAACCTCGTTAGAAGGGACTGGTTCCTGTTGTCCTGTCAACTCCCTTGGCGGTGAAGGTGGCTGGACATTCTGCCTGGATACATCGAGACCATCTGAAAGCAGGACCCCCAGCAGACATCTAAAAGGACAAATGGAAGGTTATCAGCCAACCAGGCGACCAAAAGCTAAGATTGGAGCGGGTTGGAGATGTTTCACCTTCATGATAATATAATCTGGGACACTGGCATTATTGCCCCCAAGAGGACTAGATCAAAAAAAAAAAAAAAAAAATGTATGGATTCAATTGGCAAACTTGCTTAATTTGTCTGAATTTTATCTAAATGTTGATGTAAATTTCCATCATGTATTGGGGACGTGACCCATGTCGTAAACCTAAAAATGTTGTCGAATTATACACCCAAGGTAATTATGTCAAATAATACCCAATGTGCTATGTATGAAAATTATACAACTAAATGTCTGAGGATAAAACAGTCGGAAGGGATGTCCTGCATATAAAACAATTGGAAGACTTGGCTCAAAGGGTACATAATGAAGATGGCTGGGACTTGAGCCAATGGCTAACTAAATGGCTGCCCAACCTACAATGGTTAAAACAACTTTTTCTAGTCATTACAGTTGTGTGTATATGCTTAATATTGTCATACTGTTGTATACAATGGATGCCTATGTCTATAAGTAAGATTACTTAAATTGTAAAATCAGTGGGGAATGTAAAACTGCATAACTCTGTAATCATAAAACTCCCCTAGCCCCAACTGTGATTGAATATGAGTAAATAGATAAAGATGCTTGTAGTTCCGGGACACTAGATAAGATCCCTATCAGTCATAATTATCCAACCCTTTGTTCCGGACACCACTATCTATAGAGCAATCTACAAAGCATCTGCTGACTAACAGTACATGTCAGGCTAATTAACATACAAATGTAAGACCACTAAACCTTTGTTCCTTCTTCTGTAAACTTCACCTGTTAACTCTCCTGCAAGCCCCTATAAAAAGAGCCTCGGACTCTGGACCAGGCCTCTCTAAGCTACTTTGCTTTGGGAGTGCCCTCTGGCCAGACTAAGGTCTGTTTCACTTTCCAACTTGTCCGGTGTGTTCCTTCCCGGGTGTTCTCCGCTGCAGTCAGCTCCTTGGAGCATTTGGTAAGGCCTTTGGTCTTACATTCTGGAGGCACCGCTGGGACCCC